AACCTCTGGCTGACCTCTCGCTAACCTCGGGCTAACCTCTGGCTGACCTCTATCTAACCTCTGGCTGACCTCTGGCTAACCTCTCGCTGACCTCTTGCTAACGTCTGGCTGACCTCTGGCTAACCTCTGGCTGACCTCTGGCTAACCTCTGGCTGACCTCTGACTAACCTCTGGCTGACCTCTCGCTAATCTCTGGCTGACCTCTGGCTAACCTCTGGCTGACCTCTGGCTAACCTCTGGCTGACCTCTGGCTAACCTCTGGCTGACCTCTGGCTAACCTCTGGCTGACCTCTATCTAACCTCTGGCTGACCTCTGGCTAACCTCTGGCTGACTTCTGGCTAACCTCTGGCTGACTTCTGGCTAACTTCTGGCTGACCTCTAGCTAACCTCTGGCTGACCTCTGGCTAACCTCTGGCTGACTTCTGGCTAACCTCTGGCTGACCTCTATCTAACCTCTGGCTGACCTCTGGCTAACCTCTGGCTGACTTCTGGCTAACCTCTGGCTGACCTCTATCTAACCTCTGGCTGACCTCTGGCTAACCTCTCGCTGACCTCTGGCTAACCTCTGGCTGACCTCTCGCTGACCTCTGGCTAACCTCTGGCTGACTTCTATCTAACCTCTGGCTGACCTCTATATAACCTTTGGCTGACCTCTAGCTAACCTCTGGCTGACCTCTGGCTAACCTCTGTCTGACCTCTAGCTAACCTCTGGCTGACCTCTGGCCAACCTCTGGCTGACCTCTGGCTGACCTCTAGCTAACCTCTGGCTGACCTCTGGCCAACCTCTGGCTGACCTCTGGCTAACCTCTGGCTGACCTCTAGCTAACCTCTGGCTGACCTCTAGCTAACCTCTAGCTAACCTCTGGCTGACCCCTGGCTAACCTCTGGCTGACCTCTAGCTAACCTCTGGCTGACCTCTGGCTAACCTCTGGCTAACCTCTGGCTGACCTCTTGCTAACCTCGGGCTGACCTCTCGCTAACCTCGGGCTAACTTCTGGCTAACCTCTCGCTGACCTCTGGCTAACCTCTGGCTGACCTCTCGCTAACCTCGGGCTAACCTCTGGCTGACCTCTCGCTAACCTCTGGCTGACCTCTGGCCAACCTCTGGCTAACCTCTGGCTGACCTCTAGCTATCCTCTGGCTGACCTCTGGCCGACCTCTGGTCAATCTCTTCATTGTACCAGCGGACGTAGAGTCGGACTGCAGTGCCACCCGGAGCCTCTACCTGCTGTACGGCTTCCTGGCGGCGTACTGGGCCTGTCTCAGCGGACTCCGGCCCAGAATGTTCACCGCCTTGACGGATGCCGACGTCTCCAAGGCGGAGAAGGAGATGACAGAGGAGGGCATCCTGATCAGGGTATGTAGATGGAGGTCGGCTCACGCCGCCTCTGTACCGAGGCGGGCCGCACAGGATTGACCTCTCTCTCTTCCAGGTGGCCGAGCAGCAGACGCCGCCCCGGTCCGGTGAGGCTGCCCTCGCCTTGACTTGCCGGGAGTTCTCTTGGATCGAACGTCTCGTGGCCATCAAAGCACAGCGGGGAAGCACCAGCAAATACACCCTGTTCACCACAGGGACAAAGAACTTCAGAAAGATAAACCGCTACGTGAAGCTAGCATGGGCAGAGATGGGCCTGAGCGGCAAGATCAACTTCACGCTAATCAGGTCCATCATGGCCGACTGTGTAAGTATCGCTGCGCTGTGGTGCATCCTCTAGTTGGCTGCCTGTTCGCCTCGGCCCTGACCTTCACACTGACCTTCACCCGCTGTTCCTATTCAGGCACAATCCACCCTGATGAAGGGTTCTGGAAAACGGGTCGGCACAGCTGCTGCTCGCCGGCTTCAGGCCAATCTGTGCACCGCCTCTCTGCAGGACGCCATGAAGCTGAGGTGGTTGGTGGTCTCCAGACTGGTGGCCCAACAGCACCCAGTGCCGCTGTCAGGTTCCAAACCCTCCACCACCCGCAATCCCTCCATCGTCCCTAATCCCTCCATCGTCCCCCAACACTCCACCACCCGCAGTCCCTCCATCTTCCCCAATCCCTCCATCGCCCCCAATCCCTCCATCTTCCCCAGTCCCTCCATCGTCCCCAATCCCTCCATCATCCCCAATCCCTCCATCGTCCCCAATCCCTCCATCGCCCCCCCCAATCCCTCCATCGCCCAGTCCCTCCATCGTCCCCAATCCCTCCATCGTCCCCAATCCCTCCCACCACCCCCAATCCCCATTCCCAATCCCTCCATCCCCCAATCCCCCCTCCGTCGTCCCAATCCTCCATCTACTCCAATCCCTCCATCGTCCCCAATCCCTCCATCGCCCCCAATCCCTCCATCTTCCCCAGTCCCTCCATCGTCCCCAATCCCTCCATTGCCCCCAATTCCTCCATCGCCCCCAATCCCTCCATCGTCCCCAATCCCTCCATCTTCCCCAATCCCTCCATCGCCCCCAATCCCTCCATCCCCAGTCCCTCCATTGTCCCCAATCCCTCCATCTTCACCAATCCCTCCATTGTTCCCAATCCCTCCATCTTCACCTCCATCGTCCCCAATCCCTCCATCGTCCCCAATCCCTCCATCGCCCCCAATCCCTCCGTCGTCCCCAATCCCTCCATCTACTCCAATCCCTCCATCGTCCCCAATCCCTCCATCGCCCCCAATCCCTCCATCGCCCCCAATCCCTCCATCTTCCCAGTCCCTCCATCGTCCCCAATCCCTCCATTGCCCATTCCTCCATCGCCCCCAATCCCTCCATCGTCCCCAGTCCCTCCATCTTCCCCAATCCCTCCATCGTCCCCAATCCCTCCATCTTCCCCAGTCCCTCCATCGTCCCCAATCCCTCCATCTTCACCAATCCCTCCATTGTTCCCAATCCCTCCATCTTCACCAATCCCTCCATCGTCCCCAATCCCTCCATCGCCCCCAATCCCTCCATCTTCCCCAGTCCCTCCATCGCCCCCAATCCCTCCATCTTCCCCAATCCCTCCATCGTCCCCAATCCCTCCATCGTCCCAATCCCTCCATCTTCCCCAATTCCTCCATCTTCACCAATCCCTCCATCGTTCCCAATCCCTCCATCGCCCCCAATCCCTCCATCTTCCCCAGTCCCTCCATCGCCCCCAATCCCTCCATCTTCCCCAATCCCTCCATCGTCCCCAATCCCTCCATCGTCCCCAATCCCTCCATCTTCCCCAATCCCTCCATCTTCACCAATCCCTCCATCGTTCCCAATCCCTCCATCGCCCCCAATCCCTCCATCTTCCCCAGTCCCTCCATCTTCCCCAATCCCTCCATCTTCACCAATCCCTCCATCGTTCCCAATCCCTCCATCGCCCCCAATCCCATCTTCCCCAGTCCCTCCATCGCCCCCAATCCCTCCATCTTCCCCAATCCCTCCATCGTTCCCAATCCCTCCATCGCCCCCAATCCCTCCATCTTCCCCAATCCCTCCATCGTCCCCAATCCCTCCATCGTCCCCAATCCCTCCATCTTCACCAATCCCTCCATCGTTCCCAATCCCTCCATCGTCCCCAATCCCTCCATCTTCACCAATCCCTCCATTGTCCCCAATCCCTCCATTGTTCCCAATCCCTCCATCTTCACCAATCCCTCCATCGTCCCCAATCCCTCCATCGTCCCCAATCCCTCCGTCGTCCCCAATCCCTCCATCGTCCCCCAGCACTCCTCCATCACTCCGGGCTCCTGGAGCAGCAGGTCTGTGCAGGAGGACTCCGACTCCGACCTAGAGAAATCTGGCTCCTCAAGTTTACCGTCAAACTCCAAAGCCGGTGGATATGACCTGAAGTCTGAGGGAGCAGCTGGCGACGCCTCGAAGATAAGAAACATGGCCGCCTGCTTTGTCAGACTGAGTCCCTTAAAGATGCCAGGCAGAGACTGCAGCCAGTCTGCAGGTCAACAGGTCACCAGAAAAAAATATGTCCTAAGGAAAAGAACATCCCTAAAGAGGAAATATATGTTTTGAGGAAGCAGTTGGCTGAAGAGTTTCCTACAGTTTGAGTTGAATTGTTTTGCTGTTCGCTTTGGTTTCATCTGTTCTAGACGTATTTCCTCCAGGTCAGATAAACCTTTAGTTCTGGAGAGTCCAGGTATCAACAGGAAGGGCGGTTCAGACCGCGTCTCCGTCAGAACACCGGACCCGGATCAGAGAAGACGTCTGGTGACGTTTCACCTCATCAGAACGACGTTCTCAGTCCTGTTGGGTCAACAGGCTGCTGGTTCTGGTCGGTCAAGAAAATAAAATATGTTTCTTCAGATTCTGCATTTCTGACATCAAGAGGAAGTCTGGCTTTATTTTATAATGTAATTAAAATGTCTGAGTGTTTAAACAGTTTTAGGAGGATTTGAAATGTTGCATTAAATAACAATTACAGAACAATAAAATAATTCCATAAAATGCCTGGAAGGTGAAGTTTCTTTTTCTTGAGTCTCTTCATATTTCATTTATCTGAACAAACAGATTCACAGTGAGCAGCCAGACCTGCTGCCAGATTTTCAGGTCATCAAATCATTTTTCACATCATTTATTATTGACTTTTTATGCAAGAAAGTGAAGAAAGAAAATGAGTCACATATTGTATTATTATAGGTGTTATAATTGTTACCTGAGTGAGTGAGGGTTTAGTATTATGATGAAGAGGTGAGTGACCTCTGGAAATCACTTGTTTTGGTGTCATTAGTGGGCCTGTGCAGAAAGGTCAGAGGTCATAACCTGTGACCTGTGTGATCCTGGCTGTCATGGAGACACAATGGAAACATTGAAAACCTGCTTCAAAAACACTTTCAGTCATTTATTAAATGTTTATCCATTTGGTTTCCATATCTTAATGACGTCACATTCAATGCGATGGAAGTCAAGCAGCCGTAAAGCTTACGCAGTTGACGTAAAGACGGGCTGCTGTTCAAGGTGCAGAGCAATGCGCGCTGCTGCCCCCTGCGGGTCACAGACTGAACTGCAGCACCTGCTGCATAAACCAGAGCGACTTCCTGCTGCGCTTCACTCACCTGGAGGCAAACTGCTGCAGCAGGTGCTGCTGCTGCTGCTGCTGCTGCTGCAGCTCTTCCTCTGCATGGAGGTCACAGGTCAGTCTGCGGTTTAAACCTAAAGTTTTGTTCCACTAATAAGAATCTCAGATCGTTTCAGCCTCTTGTGTTTTCTACCAGATCCTTGCGAGTCTCGCGGTAATTCGTGTTTTTCTCGCGAGAAATACACGAAAAACACATGATTCATGCTGTCATTTCGGTTTATTAAAACCGAAATGACAGCATGAATCAGATTGTTCATATGTAAATGTACTAAAGTCCATTTTGTGTGACGTCATGAGTTGAATGAAGTTTAAAAGCTGCAGAGTTTCAGAAACATGAATCAGTTCCAGGCTGTCAGTGAGTTTATGACTCAGTTATAAAGTCCAATCATGAATATTGATCTGAAAGCACAATAACAGAAGCCTGTCGTTATTGATCAGTAATTGAAAGAGTTATCAGGAACTAGTTCTGGTTCTGAGTTAAGAGAGAAACAGGAACATTTCTCTCTTTTCATCATTTGTGCTGCACATTTAAACATGAAATGAACAGAAACATATAAACTCTGCTGCTGCAGCTGCTGCTGTGCTGCAGCTGCTGCTGCTGCTGCTGAAGAAGAACCAGGATGGAAAGCAGAACTTTCTGATCCGGTTCTGATAGAGCTGCTCTCATCCAATCAGAGCAAAGGAAAGAAGCCAGCAGGTCACCTGACCTCACCCTCTCACCCGACAGGAATGAAACTATGAGGAAACTGAAGCTCCTCGCCTTTCCTCAGAACTGAACTGGACCCAGCAGAACCGGTTCTGCAGAACCTGAAGCAGTGATCTGATGAAAACGTTTCAGTTTGTTCTGTTTTCTCTCTGAGAGGAAGATGAAGACGACGATGAAGACGATGGTCCTCCTGCTCAGTAAGGTCACCTTCCTCTCTGCTCCTCATCCTCTCTGATCAGAATGACTGATTATTGATTAATAGATACTTTGGATGTTTTTCCTCATTAAGTGGCTTCATAACGTAAAGATGTTGAAGTGAAACTAAAACGAGGTTCTGTGATCTGATCTTTGCTCCCACCGGGTCGGAACCAACTGGAACCTGGATCATAAAAACATAAAAAACTGCCTGGTGACCTTTGACCTTAGTTCTGTATTGATTGTTTTTGAGAAGGAAAATAAAAAACAAACAATGTTATAATAACAAAATGTATAAATATTTGTTTCTGTTAACAGCAACGTCACAATTAAAGGAATTAAAAATATATAAAACAGAATAAATAATAAAAATAAAAACTACATCATGTTCAACATTCTTAAAAATCTTTAATTAAAAATGTAAACATGTCTGTTTGAGCATTTTCACTGTTCACTCTGTCTCTGCTCGTCTCTGTGCCTCAGTTTCCCAGCATGCCCTGTGTGGGGTGGTGGAGGTCACTGTGGGGTCGCAGTCTGTCCTGCTGCCCTGTCGTTACTCTGGCATCGTACCTGACGAGCCCGTCGTCACCTGGACCAATGAGGACGCCGGTCCCGCCTGCGTCCACCTGAGACGGGAGCAGGACGACCTGAGGACGCAGGACGAGCGCTACCGGGGTCGGACGCGCATGGCGCCCGGGGCGCTGGACTCCGGCGACTTCAGTTTGACCCTGAGTGACCCGCGATCCTCTGACCAGGGTACCTACACCTGCAGCCTGAGCGGTGGGAGAGGACGCCGCACAGTAAGGGTCAGCCAGCTCAGGGTCAGAGGTGAGCAGGGTGAGCTCCAGGTCAAAGGTCACCAGGTTTGTGAGCTGGCTCGGTGAGAGGTGATCATGTGATCTCCCCAGATGAGCAGGTGGAGGTGAAGACGGTGGAAGGAGCCGATTCTGTGGTCCTGCCCTGCAGAATGCTGCCCAACCTGCCCGGCGACAGCAGAGTGGAGTGGACCCGCTCAGAACCAGAACTTGTGCTGGTCCACACGCTCCAGAACACGAGCCGACCCGGAACCAGGCAGGATGACCTTTACTGCGGCCGCACCCACATGAAGCAGGACCTGCTGCAGAGCGGCGACCTCAGCCTGACCCTGCAGTTCCCCACCGCCAGGGACAGGGGGCGCTACGTCTGCACCGTGTACCGCGGCGAGGACATCCTGAGGCGCGCCGTGGTACTGCAGCACGTCACAGGTCAGAGGTCAACGTTATTCTGACAGAAACTAAACATAAAGTTTCAGTTTTAGGCCGAATAAAGATGCAGGTTAACGGCAGACGGAGCTCCAGGTGAATCACCTGCTGGACCAACTCCTGCTTCCTGGATTCAAACTATCCCGACCTTTGACCTGCTTACCTGAGTCAGAGGTCAGAGTTGATGAATCTGGACTAAAATCCCATTTTCAAAACAATGTTGATGAAAGCCAGTTGGAGAGGTCACAGAAAGGTCACAGAAAGGTTACAGAAAGGTCACAGAAAGGTCTCAGAAAGGTCACAGAAAGGTCACAGAAAGGTCTCAGAAAGGTTACAGAAAGGTCACAGAAAGGTCTCAGAAAGGTCTCAGAAAGGTCACAGAAAGGTCACAGAAAGGTCTCAGAAAGGTTACAGAAAGGTCACAGAAAGGTTACAGAAAGGTCTCAGAAAGGTTACAGAAAGGTCACAGAAAGGTCTCAGAAAGGTCACAGAAAGGTCACAGAAAGGTCTCAGAAAGGTCTCAGAAAGGTCACAGAAAGGTCACAGAAAGGTCTCAGAAAGGTTACAGAAAGGTCACAGAAAGGTTACAGAAAGGTCTCAGAAAGGTTACAGAAAGGTCACAGAAAGGTCTCAGAAAGGTCACAGAAAGGTCACGCAGTGTGAAACGGTGATGCATTCGGTTGTGCCTGATGTTTGTTGTTTCTCTGCAGAAGCGTTTCCCCTGCAGGCCAAAGTTCTGCTGGTTCTGCTGCTTGCTCTCTGTGTCTCTGCCGGTCTCATCTATTATTTTCGACTCTACATCCTGTCAGGTGAGTTTGTCCTGCAACTAAACCACAAACTCAGCCAATCAGGCGACGGCAGAAACGTGGAGCCAGTTTTCAGATCTGCAGTGAGTCGGACAGAAAGTTCTTCCCGGTTCGGACCTGAAGCTGATGCTGCGCTCCGTTTTCCTCCCAGTCTACACGGTGAAGGTGGAGGCGGGGGCGGAGTCTGTCCTGCTGCCCTGCAGATCCACAGTCCGTCTCCCTGAAGACGCCAAAGTGGACTGGAGGACCAGCAGCAACATGAAGGTCCACGTGTATCTGCAGGGCTGTGATCGCTCAGAGGAGCAGCACCGGACTTACCGCGACCGGACCCGGATAAACCAGGACCCGCTGAGAACCAGAGACCTCAGCCTGACACTGCAGCGCCCCCTAGACGTGGACAGTGACACCTACACCTGCATTGTGTGCAGCAGAGAGGGACACATTCTGCTGAAGAAGGATGTGAAGCTTCGGGTCAGAGGTACAGAAACACTTTGACTTCACTTCCTGGTTTCTGAAGGCATCCAACCCAGAGATGCTGCAGCAGCGGCAGCATCTCTGGGTGCTGCCGCATCTGCATCCTGGTGGATTAATGAATTAATGGGTTATTGGGTTAATAAGTTAATGAGTTAATGAGTTAATGGGTTAATGAGTTAATGGGTTCATGAGTTAATGGGTTAATGAGTTAATGGGTTAATAAGTTAATGAGTTAATGAGTTAATGGGTTAATGAGTTAATGGGTTCATGAGTTAATGGGTTAATGAGTTAATGGGTTAATGGGTTAATGGGTTAATGAGTTAATGGGTTAATGAGTTAATGGGTTAATGAGTTAATGGGTTAATGAGTTAATGGGTTAATGAGTTAATGGGTTAATGAGTTAATGGGTTCATGAGTTAATGGGTTAATGAGTTAATGGGTTCATGAGTTAATGGGTTAATGAGTTAATGGGTTCATGAGTTAATGGGTTAATGAGTTAATGGGTTAATAAGTTAATGAGTTAATGAGTTAATGGGTTAATGAGTTAATGGGTTCATGAGTTAATGGGTTAATGAGTTAATGGGTTAATGGGTTAATGGGTTAATGAGTTAATGGGTTAATGAGTTAATGGGTTAATGAGTTAATGGGTTCATGAGTTAATGGGTTAATGAGTTAATGGGTTAATAAGTTAATGGGTTAATGAGTTAATGGGTTAATGAGTTAATGGGTTCATGAGTTAATGGGTTAATGAGTTAATGGGTTAATGGGTTAATGGGTTAATGAGTTAATGGGTTAATGAGTTAATGGGTTAATGAGTTAATGGGTTAATGAGTTAATGGGTTCATGAGTTAATGGGTTAATGAGTTAATGGGTTAATGAGTTAATGGGTTAATGAGTTAATGGGTTCATGAGTTAATGGGTTAATGAGTTAATGGGTTCATGAGTTAATGGGTTAATGAGTTAATGGGTTAATGAGTTAATGGGTTAATGAGTTAATGAGTTAATGGTTTAACCGGCGGGTTGGTTGGGAATGTAAACAGCTCATTCTGTAAAGTCCATTTGAACTTTTGGTCTTTGGTTTTCCAGCTGGATCCTAAAGACAAACTGGTTCCAACTGGTTCAGCCTGGTGACATGATGATGTCACCAGGTGACATCATTGTGTCACCTGGTGACACAATGATGTCACCTGGTGACACGATGATGTCATCTGGTGACACGATGATGTCACCAGATGACACGATGATGTAACCAGGTGACACGATGATGTCACCAGATGACACGATGATGTCACCAGGTGACACGATGATGTCACCAGATGACACGATGATGTCACCAGATGACACGATGATGTCACCAGGTGACACGATGATGTCACCTGGTGACACAATGATGTCACCAGGTCACTTTGTATTTTGGTGTTTTATGATGTAAACTCCTTGATCTGCCATTGATTAGAATTAATATTATTATTATTATTATTATTAAATCTGGGATTCAATCAGTTTCTATAGAAACATGTTACACTGCATCCATCTGCTCAAAACAACCCATCAGATTAAATGATGATTATCATATCTGAGGATCAATATTTCCTCCAGACCATCAGAAAAACTCTGACCAACATGTTTTAACCAACATGTTGGTTAGAAAGCAGAAAACTACCAACCTGCCTCTTTCTCTGGCCGTTTCCACAGAACAAAATGTCTTCATCATGTCCTCAGAGCTGCTGCTGTCTGTCCAGATCATCTTGTCCTCTGTTGTCTCTCAGTCCAACAGGTGGAGGTGAAATCAGGGGTGGAGTCTGTCCTGCTGCCCTGCAGAACCAAACAGAGTCTGGATGGAGACGTTAAGGTGGAGTGGAAGGACAGAGACAACAGGACGGTCCATGTGTATCAGAACGGTTCTGATCAGCCTGGAGAACAGAACCAGATCTACAGAACCAGAACCAGGATGGATGGAAACCTGCTGAAGAATAAAAACCTCAGTCTGACTCTGTTGTGGCCCAGTGATGGAGACGCAGGGACGTACAGCTGCAGCGTCTCTAACAGAGACGGAGACATGCTGATGATGAAGCAAGTGAAGCTTCAGATCACTGGTCAGTTAAATGTGATATTATTTCTGATGATTAACTGGTTATTATCTATATGTCATTAGTTCTTATGTTGCTGGTGAGAAACGATGTCAAACTGTTAACTTTGGCCGTTTCAGCTTCAGACCAGCAGCAGCAATGAGATGTTTGGAGGAAACGTCTGAACAGCTGATCTTGTTTTTTATTGGCTGATTTTGGTCCATAATATGAACAACATGTTCAGTTTGATTCCCACCAAGACTCTTCAGCATGAAGAGCTGCTGTTCCCACTTCTGTTCCCTGATGCTACAGACCATCTGATCCATTCATTTGCTTTTCTGAACTGATATTGAATTGGAGAAATAAACTGTAAAGCATTGATGAATTGATATTTTATGTACATCAGTTTCTCAGAAGGAACTTGGTCAGTTAGGCCCAGATAACTTGTGAGTGTTAGCAATGGCCCAAGCCAGCAGGGGTCGGCTGAAGGGTCAGCTGAAGGGTCAGCTGAAGGGTCAGCTGAAGGGTCGGCTGAAGAACGACCTTTGAACTGACGCTGCCTTCTCTCTGCATTTGGGTTCAGTCTGAGATTCTGCATCTCTGAATATGAAGGTCCTGGGATTTCCTCATCTTCCATTGCTGCTCTTCAGAGGTTTAGTTTAGTTTAGTTTCATTTAGTTTAGTTTAGTTTAGTTTAGTTTAGTTTAGTTTCATTTAGTTTAGTTTAGTTTAGTTTAGTTTAGTTTAGTTTCATTTAGTTTAGTTTAGTTTAGTTTAGTTTCATTTAGTTTAGTTTAGTTTAGTTTAGTTTAGTTTAGTTTTATTTAGTTTAGTTTAGTTTAGTTTCATTTAGTTTAGTTTAGTTTAGTTTAGTTTAGTTTAGTTTAGTTTAGTTTCATTTAGTTTAGTTTAGTTTAGTTTAGTTTAGTTTCATTTAGTTTAGTTTAGTTTAGTTTAGTTTAGTTTAGTTTCATTTAGTTTAGTTTAGTTTAGTTTCATTTAGTTTAGTTTAGTTTAGTTTAGTTTAGTTTAGTTTTATTTAGTTTAGTTTAGTTTAGTTTCATTTAGTTTAGTTTAGTTTAGTTTAGTTTAGTTTAGTTTAGTTTCATTTAGTTTAGTTTAGTTTAGTTTAGTTTCATTTAGTTTAGTTTAGTTTAGTTTAGTTTAGTTTAGTTTAGTTTAGTTTAGTTTTATTTAGTTTAGTTTAGTTTCATTTAGTTTAGTTTAGTTAAGTTTAGTTTAGTTTAGTTTAGTTTCATTTAGTTTAGTTTAGTTAAGTTTAGTTTAGTTTAGTTTAATTTAGTTTAGTTTAGTTTAGTTTAGTTTAATTTAGTTTAGTTTAGTTTAGTTTAGTTTAGTTTAGTTTAGTTTAGTTTAGTTTAGTTTAGTTTAGTTTAGTTTACTTTAGTTTAGTTTAGTTTAGTTTAGTTTAGTTTAGTTTAGTTTAGTTTAGTTTAGTTTAGTTTAGTTTACTTTAGTTTAGTTTAGTTTAGTTTAGTTTAGTTTAGTTTAGTTTAGTTTAGTTTAGTTTAGTTTAGTTTAGTTTAGTTTAGTTTAGTTTAGTTTAGTTTAGTTTAATTTAGTTTAGTTTAGTTTAGTTTAGTTTAGTTTAGTTTAGTTTAGTTTAGTTTAGTTTAGTTTAGTTTAGTTTAGTTTAGTTTAGTTTAGTTTATTTTAGTTTAGTTTAGTTTAGTTTAGTTTAGTTTAGTTTAGTTTAGTTTAGTTTAGTTTAGTTTAGTTTAGTTTAGTTTAGTTTAGTTTAATTTAGTTTAGTTTAGTTTAGTTTAGTTTACTTTAGTTTAGTTTAGTTTAGTTTAGTTTAGTTTAGTTTAGTTTCATTTAGTTTAGTTTAGTTTAGTTTAGTTTAGTTTAGTTTAGTTTCATTTAGTTTAGTTTAGTTTAGTTTAGTTTTATTTAGTTTAGTTTAGTTTCATTTAGTTTAGTTTAGTTTAGTTTAGTTTAGTTTCATTTAGTTTAGTTTAGTTTAGTTTAGTTTTATTTAGTTTAGTTTAGTTTAGTTTAGTTTAGTTTAGTTTAATTTCATTTAGTTTAGTTTAGTTTAGTTTAGTTTAGTTTAGTTTCATTTAGTTTCATTTAGTTTAGTTTAGTTAAGTTTACTTTAGTTTAGTTTCATTTAGTTTAGTTTAGTTTCATTTAGTTTAGTTTAGTTATGATCAGCTCCATCAACCTGAAACTGATCCAGTTTCATCAGTTTCATTCAGACTGATCACACTGCATCTCCCAGCATGCAATGCTCTGAAAGCTGTTGTTACTGACGATACACCCGGTACCGGTACCGGGTCGCCTGGCCCGTTTGGACCCTAGACAGTGTTTCAGTCTGACCCAAACTTTATGCGTCTGGACAGAGATTATTTAATCAAACAGATGATTTAGACATTGTTGCTTTAAGTCTTGAAGTTATCTTCCTTGATTATTGATTATTGATTTTGGATCAGTAGATCTGTTAGGGTTAACACCTGTTGAACATATTTAAAGACAGAAAAGACAAGAGTTAGATTATTTTTTTACTCACGAGGAGAACAGACAGAGATGTGCTTCAGTTACAATCTCCTGTCTCTCTGAAGCACATTTGTCTGCTCCTCTCTTTTTATTGTTTCAGGATCACTAATCACAAAGACGCTGCAACTCCAAAGGGGGGGAAACCAACTCATCACACAGCTACATTTACTAACTAATACACAAATTATCCTGGACTAGATAATCTCGTTCCTGACACAAAGTCTAGCAGAATATACTGTGATTCTTCACAGTGACAGTTTTATAGCATTCTAGCCACTCAGCAAAGCAAAGCTCTTCACCAAGAGATAAAACTTCAGGAAAACACTCTCTGCTTTCCATCAGTGAGGCCTTCTGAGAAAAGAATCAGAGCAAATCAACAATATAGAAACATTCTTAATTCTATCATGAGATTAACTTAAAGGAAAACATAAAATAAAGATACATTATAAAGATCAATGAGAATAACAAATATTTGATTAATTATATCACAATTTCTCCAACAAGATCGATAGCTCAGCTGTCCAGATCATCTGTTGTCTCTCAGGTCTAGAACAGGTGGAGGTGGAACCAGAGGTGGACTCTGTCCTGCTGCCCTGCAGAACCAGAAAGAGTCTGGATGGAGACGTTAAGGTGGAGTGGAGGGACGGATTGAACAAGACGGTCCATGTGTATCAGAACGGTTCTGATCAGCCTGGAGAACAGAACCGATCCTACAGAACCAGAACCAAGATGGATGAAAACCCACTGAGAACTGGAGACCTCAGTCTGACTCTGAGACGACCCACTGACGAAGACAACGACACCTACACCTGCAGCGTCTCCACGGGGGACGGAGACATCCTGATGAAGAAACAAGTAAAACTCCAGGTCAAAGGTCAGTGGGGTGAAAGGTACCAGCAGTGGTACCTTTAACCCAAATGTAGAAGTTTCCATTGTGGGATTGTTGCTCATGCCCTGAGGGACACCAACTAATGAGTTCATATGCAGGGAGACATGATGTCCCTTAATGCAGCAGCCGGCTGGACAATGAATAATCAGAACCATAAGACCCATAAAAACCCACCAGTTATGCTGTAGCTCTTAAATACACTTAACAAAAGTCTTTAGTGAGTTTAGAAAACTCTTTCACTATAGTTTGTAAAATCATTAAGATGTGAAGCTCTGGAAGATGAGAATCTTAAATTATCCCTGCAGCTCCTCGTCTCATGGTCCTTCAGGTCTGAGCCTGTCAGCTCCAGGATGTCCGATTATTCTCATGTCCTGCTGCTGAAGAATCCATCTGGACATGAAGTGTGCAGAAATCCTGCAGAGATCCTGCAGAGATCCTGCAGAGATCCTGCAGAGATCCTGCAGAGATCCTGCAGAGATCCTGCAGAAATCCTGCAGAAATCCTGCAGAGATCCTGCAGAGATCCTGCAGAGATCCTGCCGCTGCTGTGACCAGACGTACGGCTCTGTGCTGCTCTCTGTCAGAGTCACAGATTTTCTTCGATATCGTCTGATGTGCTGCGTTGCGTCTCCTCTACCGCCAGCAGGATCAGCCTTTGAGAAGAAGCTGCCATAGCAAGACGTTGTAGAAACCAGGCTTCAGTCCTTGAATGAGACGTTGAGCTTGGTCCACATGGGCGACATGGGCAGCTACCCAGGGCAGCATCGTGTGTGGGCAGCATGAAGGGCAAGACGTTAAAGGATTTTACACATTTAGACAATCCTCTCTAGTAAACGAGACAAGAAACGTCCCAATATAAGTACAGAGGTAATATCATGTCTGCCGCAGTTAAAGGACCTTTGGCTAAACAAACTGCAGCTCTTCAGTTTTCTAGCTAATCCTCCATGTTTGTAGAAAGTCGTGTTTCCGTCCTGCAGGTCAGGAGAAAAGGCTTCACATGTGAGTCTATGGTCCTAAATGTTAAAGGTGCTGCTGCTTGGTGAACTACATGATATTTTAGTCATGTTAAAGTCTCACACTATGAATGCTGGGACATGTGGTCCAGTCAGTGTGTTTGGGTAAATGGACGTTCGACACAAGTAAAGATGGCTGCTCAAGATCATAACTTCTGATTTAATATTTATATCATCAAGCAGAAATAAAATAAAGTCAGAATATATAGCGATAATCCTAAATATATATTTGTCTTTCTTCTGTCAGTCTGTCAGGTGGAGGTGGAGGACGGAGCGACGTCTGTCCTGCTGCCCTTCAGAACAACACCTGACCTGCCTGCAGACGCTGCAGTGGTTTGGGGACGTATTGATCCAGAGCCAAAAATGATCGTTCACATGTACTACAGCGGCTCTGATCAGCCTGATGACCAGGATGAGCATTTTAGTACCAGAACCAAGATGGCTGACAACCTGCTGACGTCTGGAGACCTGAGTTTGACTCTGAGGCGTCCCACAGTGGGAGACAGTGGACAGTACGAATCTGCATAGAGAGTGGGCAGATCTGGAGAAAGAAAAAGGTTCTGCTTAAAGTCAAAGGTCAGTTTGTCTCGTTTTGATCATGTCTTTTTGAACCAGTTACTTTAGCGTCCAACCCAAACTGGAGACGTTCGGGTTGGACTGGAGTTTCTGAACTCCAGGCTCTAACTTGTCCTCTGTCTCCTGCAGGGACTGTCCCGGTCCAGGGCCAACTGGAGGACATCAGGACCAGAAGTGGTTCTGTTGATCCGACTCCTCTCATGACTGAAGAAGCTGTCTGATCGACATATTGATCATTGACTGTAAATCCATCTGACTTTGGATCAGAGTGAAATCTCAGGATCTGGCAGGATGAAAACTTTTTATTTGCTCAGTCTGACTGTGCATCTGCACTAGGTTGGTGAGGTGTGACCGCTAATCGACCTCTGACCTCTGGTCCTCTTACTTATTATTTCATGAATAAGTAAAGGTCCAATCCCCCAAAACAAAGTTGATGAAATGAAACTCAAAGGAAGATAGACATGATTGATTGGACACTGGAAAAGCAACAAATAACAGGAAATTGTGATTTTCTGACCAGGAACAGACAAGAGAACATATTATGTTACAATGTAATAAATATCACAATAAAATGTATTTTCTTAAACGAAGCCTTGAAATAATTAAAGATTATTTATTAAACAAAAGTTACATGTTTATAATGCAGTTTATTTGGTGTATTTGCTTATTTGAGATTATTTTATTTATTTATTCTTCAATGTATTTCAAGCGATTTTAGAAACTTGATCTCCCCTCCACGCCAGCAGGTGGCGGTATCGCACCAAGTCATTGTGTTTAATAAACACCAGAAGCTACCCTGCAGCTCTGTCTTTTGTTTGCTGTTGGATGGTTTGGAGTCTGTTTGGCTCGGTGATGGTTAAATGAAGCGTCATGAAGCAGTGAAGCTTCACTCGATGCTTCATTCATGTCTCACCAGCGACATCTGCTGGTGAGACTGTGACAGTCACTCAGTTGAATCACTCTTCCTAAAATTACAATATTTTCATCAAACTCATGTTTAGTAACAGGAGAATAAATGAAATCATTTTTAATTCTCATAGTTTTTAGTTATTAAAATGATTTGTAGCCAATCTAATCCTGGTATTTGTTGACTGTCAGTGTTTCTGTTGGGTTTCCCTTTATGTCATAGACTGGTTTGACAATAAAGACATTTAATGTTTTGTAGTGCAGTGATTGTTGGATTATTCGTTTTTCTTGGATTCCTAATTGGCTCTCATCCTTTATATTTCACTAGATGCTGAATTTGTCTTGCAAGAGCAATAAATCTGTTTCTGATAGATCTTTGCTGATCAGACCACAGGTTAGAATATGGGAGTTGGAAGGGTTAATTATTTTTATTGAAGAATAATCTTATTGTGACTGATCATCTCAAAGAATTCCCAGATGATAATAAAGGCTCACTGTGCTTTTATTTTGAAAACCGACACGCAAAATGAAGCAGTCACGCGTCCCAGGTGATGCGAGGCGTCATGTGTTGCTAGTCATTTTTCAGCAAGACCATTATGCTGGAATTGGTGAACTGTGAATTAAACGGTTTATTATTTTCATTGTAAGGTTTTTACAGTGTCTAATGTCATACACAGTGATGAACATTATAAACAAGAACATCAGTTAGAGAAGGACTGGAGATGAAATTACTGCCTTCTGCAGTTTGTCTGACAAGCTGAGGAAATGAAACATTTAAATGTTTTTACGGCATCATCTGATAAAGGTGAACAGTTCAAATAAAATGATCAGGCAGCACATTGTTACAAACATTTAGCTGGAAAACAATGTTTTCATCTCCCTCTCTGTTTCCACAGGAGCATGGAGACCATGAGCAGACTGATGGAGAGCTTATGTCACAACCATCACTGCCAACAAGGTCGTTTCAAGGTCAGATTGGACATGAGCCACACAGCAAGACCTGACAGGAGCAGCTTTTCAGTATCAATCATCTCTAAACTTACATCAGCAGATTCACACCAGAGAAAAACCACAGCTGTGAGGAGTGTGGGAAATATTTTATTAGAAAAACTACATTGGATGTTCACATGGATGTCATTTAAAATTAGTCATGGCTTAAAGGGTTAATTTGTTTAACATGAAAATGTTTACACTTTTTCTTATCAAATAAAATAATTTATCTTGCATTAATTTCTTGTTTCAGTATTGACCATCCATCCATCCATCCATCCATCCATCCATCCATCCATCCATCCATCCATCCATCCATCCATCCATCCATCATCCATCCATCCATCCATCATCCATCCATCCATCCATCCATCCTCTGCTGCTTATCCATGTCGGGTCGCGGGGGTAGCAGCTCCAGAATGGAGGCCCAGTCTTTCCTCTCCCCAGCCACTTCTTCCAGCTCCTCCGGGGGAATCCCAAGGCGTTCCCAGGCTAGCCAAGAGACGTAGTCCCTCCAGCGTGTCCTGGGTCTTCCCTGGGGCCTCCTCCTCCTGGTGGGACATGCCCGAAACATCTCACCAGGGAGGCGTCCAGGAGGGATCCTGACCAGATGCCCGAGCCTCAACTGGCTCCTCTCGATGTGGAGGACCAGCGGCTCTACTCTGAGTCCCTCCCGGATGACCGAGCTTCTCACCCTATCTCTAAGGGAGAGCCCAGCCACCCTACGGAGAAAACACATTTCAGCCGCTTGTATCTGCGATCTTGTTTGTTCGGTCATGACCCAAAGCTCATGACCATAGATGAGGGTAGGAACGTAGATCGATGGTAAATCGAGAGCTTCGCTTTTTGACTCAGCTCTCTCTTCACCACGACGGACCGGCACAGCGCCGCTTCACGGCGGACGCTGCACCAATCCGCCTGTCGATCTCCCGTTCCCTTCGTGAACAAGATCCCAAGATACTTGAACTCCTCCACTTGGGGCAGGACATCCCCCTCGACCCGAAGAAGCACTCTACTCTTTTCCGGCTCAAGACCATGGCCTTGGACTTGGAGGCACTGATTGTCATCCCGGCTGCTTCCCACTCAGCTGCGAACCGCTCCAGCGAGAGCTGCAGATCACGTCCTGATGAAGCCAATAGGACCACATCATCCACAAAAAGCAGAGATGGATCCTAAGGCCACCAAAACGGATCCCCTCAACACCTTGACTGCGCCTAGAAATTCTGTCCATAAAAGTAATGAACAGAATAGTGGACAAAGGGCAGCCCTGGTGGAGTCCAACCCTCACCGGGAACGAGCCCGACTTATTGCTGGCAATGCAGACCAGACTCTTACACCGATCATACAGGGACCTGACAGCCCGTATCAAAGGGCCCGGTACCCCATACTCCCGGAGAACCCCCACAGAGACACGGTCGAACGCCTTCCCCAAGTCCACAAAGCACATGTAGACTGGTTGGGCAAACTCCCAGAACCCTCCAGGACCCTGCTGAGGGTGTAGAGCTGGTCCAGTGTTTCACGACAAGAACCACAATGCTCCTCCAAAATCTGAGGTTTGACTATCCGACGGACCCTCCTCTCCAGTACCCCCGAATAGACCTTGCCAGGGAGGCTTAAGAGTGTAATCCCTCTATAATTGGAGCACACTCTCCGATCCCCTTTTTAAAACAGAGGGACCACCACCCCAGTCTGCCAATCCAGGTGAACTGGACCCCAGTCTGCCAATCCAGGTGAACTGCCCCGATGTCCATGCAATATTGCAGAGTCGCATTAACCAACACAACCCTACAACATCCACAGCTTTAAGAAACTCCGGTGAATCTCATCCACCCCCGGGGCCACCGAGGAGCTTTTTAACCACCTTGGTGACCTCATCCCCAGAGATCGGAGAGCCCAACCCAGAGTCCCCAGGCTAAGCTTCCTCAATGGAAGGCATGTTGGTGGGATTGAGGAGGTCTTCAAGGTATTCCGCCCACCGACCCACAACGTCCCGAGTCGAGGTCAGCAGCACACCAGTGAACAGTGTTGTTGCTGCACTGCTTCCCCCTCCTGAAACGCCGGATGGTGGACCATTCGCCTCGAAGCCATACGGAAGTCTTTCTCCATGGTCTCTCCGAACTCCTCCAGCACCCTCCAGGAGGGGCACTCTCCAGTACCGCCTCTAAGGACTCCAAGAAGGGTGGGTAGGCTGAACTGTCGTTTGACCCGTAAACACAGAAGTCAGAACCGGTTCCCCCACCTGTAGGCAGAGGGAGGCTACCCTCTCATCCACCAGGGTAAACCCCAACGTACAGGCGCCGAGATGGGGAGCAACAAGTTGCCCACCCCTGCTCGACGCCTCTCACTGTGGGCAACTCCAGAGTGGAAGTACTTCCAGCCCCTCTCAAGGAGACTGGTTCCAGAACCGGAGCCATGCGTCGAGGTGAGACCGACTATTTCTAGCCGGAACCTCTCAGCCTCACACACCAGAGAGGTGACATTCCACGTCCCAAGAGCCAGTTTCTGTAACCGAGGATCGGACCCCTCCCTCGGCCATCACCCATCACACACTGCACCAGACCCCTGTGGCCCTTCCCACAGGGAGTGGGCCTAAGGGAGGAGGGACCCATGTTTCTTCTTTTTGACCACTACAATAAAATTAGGTGATTTAGTAAATAATAAAAGTCAAGAAAACAAATCTGGTAGAATGATCTGAACAGGCTGAGTGTCTCAAACATGACAAATTGAAACGTTCCTGTAAAAACCTGGGAAATTCAGCTTCAGGAAGGTTAGAAGCAAAAATAAAGGGGAGGCTTTGTTTGCTTTATTTTCCTGCTTTTATGAAATAAAAAGAAACAAACATGAAATAAACAGCATTTTACAAGGCGTGTACAGAGAACATGCAGTAGGGGGTGATATAAGCATCGGGTGTGGCCTTTTCTGAGCAGAAGAATGAGAGAGAGGGATCCACCCAGTGATCCACCCAGCTGGGATCAGAAGTGGTGTTCTGTGGTGACAGGTGTGGCGACATCATCGTATTCATCGTCCAATCCTGGGGCTCCTGAGGTCAGAGAAATGCAGGTGAGGTTGATGATGAGAGCTGAGATCAGATCAACATTATATGATGGTTACCAGCAGTTCTGCTTCGACACACAGACACCAGGAGGGCAGAGCAGATTAAGTATGGACAGAGCACCAACAGATGGAGAGGAACATGGTACACAAGATGCAGACCTTCCTCTGCAGCAGGTGGAGCTGAAGCTGAAGCTGAGGAGGATGAAGGTGAGTTAATATCTTGATGAAGCACAGCTGAAGATTCAGAGAACCTCCCTGACCTCTGACCTTTGACAGAGACCCTGCTGGATGGAGACTCTCCAGAACCGCTGATGCTACATTTATAGAGGCCTTCATCAGAGCTGGAAACATGGAGGAGGGTCATGCTGCCTGCTGATCCATCACCAATGAAGGAGCCATCTTTATAGAAAGCAGCTGGGAGTTGTGGGTTGGATTCCTTGCTCTGCAGCTCAGAGTGACGTCATCTCCCTCCATCACAGGGAGGGCAGGACTCTGCAGGATCACTGATCCACCTGAACACAGAAACAAACTACAGCATTTCATCCATTTCCACACAGCAACACTAACATCCGAGCTGCACAGTGGTGCAGTGGGTAGCACTGTTGCCTTGCAGCAACAAGGTCCTGGGTTCGATTCCCGGCCCGGGGTCTTTCTGCACAGAGTTTGCATTATTCTCCTTGTGCATGCTGGTTCTCTCCGGGTTCCTCCCACAGTCCAAAAACATGACTGTCAGGTTGACTGGCCTTCCCAGATTCTCCTTAGGTGAGTGTGTGTGCATGGTTGTTTGTCCTGTTTGTCTCTGTGTTGCCCTGCGACAGACTGGTGACCTGTCCAGGGTGAACCCCGCGTCTCGCCTGGAACACAGCTGGAGAGGAACCAGCAACTCCCGACCCGTTAGGGAGAAGGGTGACCGGAAAATGGATGGATGGAACACTAACATCCACCAGAGGGAGACACTCATCATCTGGTAGCTTAAATACTAAATGCACCACTGATAAACCAGACTACTGTCATGTCCAGCTCAGCCCATCACTCCCCTGCCACCCAAACTGTTCTTCAGATCCCCCTTCCTCATGAAATGTTTGAAGGGTTCTCCATGTTGGTCTTTAGCTTCACCCTTTTTGTCTCCTTGAGCTGCACTGCAGCTAATCCCACAGCGAAGTGTATTACCCACAATTCCTCCACAATGCCAGTGACATTTGTATTCAAACATGGCGATGTTCACAGTGTGAGCTGTATGTCATGGAAAAATCCATTTTCAGAAGTAAAGTATTGAAATAATTTGTGTTTCACTGAAATTGTGTGATTACACAAAATTTTCTGTATTAAACAAGTCATAATAAAACAGCCAAATATCTCCAGCAATGACTTGGGTAGAAAAAATATCTTTACTGTACATTTAAAACATTCTGTTCTGTTGTACTTTTAGCAGCACAAATGCCTAAACAGTGACCAGTCCTCCATTTTGGATGTTAAAGTTACGACACAGGGCTGTACTGTCCCAATTTCCACAGTTTTGCTGCTTGTATCCTGAAGCCTGATGTGACTTGGACTGAATCCACTTCACAGAGGGGCCAGGGTGCATCCTGAGGATTGGACTGGGCCGATATAGATGCCTCACTGTGTGGTACACTCTGCAGCCTGCTGGGGGCGCTATAGCTGGGCTTACCAGTGACCGTTAGGTTGACTCTGCTGCTGATGACTCCCTCTGTGGACTGGCACCAGTAAAGGCCGCTGTCCCAAGAGACGGTCAGGCTGATCCTGCAGGCGGCGCCCGTCCTTCTTCCCCATTTCACTCCACACTCAGTCATGTGCTCGTTGCTGGTGTTTCTCTTCAGGATCCATCCAGTGGAGCTGCTGATGTCGTCATCACAGCTCAGACGCAGCGGCTCACCTTCAAATATCTGGGCGCTGCTGGGATCCACAGTCAGAGAGGCTGGAAAGCAGCAGAGACAGTGTCATGGTGAGTTTTGATGAATGAATGACACACAGATCTCTAATCAGTCTGTTTTATTGATGGGAGAGGTTTTCTGTTGGCTCCATTTCAGCTGCTGATGGAAAATACTCAATCAGATCATGATACCAATAAACCACAGCAGATCACTGTGCTTTTTTATTGAAAACCAACACAATAAAATGAAGCAGTGACGTATCAGTCACATGGTTTCCTGTAGGATGATGCAATGACACACTCACCGTTCACTCTACACACTGCTGTCCCATCACGATCTATGGTTTACTAAGTAGAGCAGGAGCTGTGGGGGGTCTCCATAAAACATTAATTGAGAATTACAGGCTCTGTAATTAATTACAATATAATAAAAACCCAAAAATAAACAAAATAAGCAAAATTCTATGTTAATCCTAACAACAGTAAGCTAGGTTTAATGGTCTCTGTATGGATCTCGTAAAAACATTATTGTGACATTCCTGGATACTGTTAATATGTTTAAAGTTTGATTTATTTGAGTGAAATCTGTCAATTTCAGCTGAACAGCAGGTATCAGTAGAGAGCAACAAGCTGCAAAAACTCAGTTCTTCATTTGATCATCAGACAGTTTGAAATGTTTCCAGTTTTTATTTGAATTGAAAGGACACTTACTGAACATCTCACCTCAGATGAATTTTATTTAAAGCAAAATGTTTGCTAAACATACATTAATAAAGCAATACTGATTCCAGTTCTGTTGGGTTTAGAATCAGATTTATGAGGGAACAATGCCTAATAAATATAAATACATCTGTTATCACATTAAAACCCTGTTCTCCCATGACATAAATATAAATAATTTAAAGCAACCATCAAGTCTATGAAATGAAAATGAGGAAAAATCAGAGACATTGACTAACCTTGGATAGCTGAGCAGCATTTCAGAGAAGTTAAGACTGAAGAGGAGAACAAAGAGTTAATCCAGGATTCATCCTCAGCTCTGCGTCGTTCATCAGTTTTATTTCACATACTTTTCTGTTCAAATTCTATAAATGTTGATTTTACATTTTTTGCAGAGTAAAACACTTCCATACATTTCTGAACAACCTTAGAGGAGTTTTACTAATTGTTTTCCTGACATGTTCGAATCTTTAAGGCTTGTTTCATCTGATGCAGACTGTCCAGTGAAAAGTATTTTACTTTTGTGTAACATAACGAAGGAGAAACTGAACCATTGCTCGCTCTCTGGGTTAAAATCTTAAAATCCGTCACATTTTCTGTAAATATTCAACTTTATCCAGTCTAAAAAAAAATCTAAACCAGGCCTGGAGACACAAGAAGCTCAAATAGTTTTCTAGTTAATGTTTGTAAAATGTTAAAATTTCAGAGCTCTAAAGATAGCTGCTTGTTTTCAGATGATAAAGTGTAGAAAAGCAGATGGATCCAGCTGACTTTATACTCACAGATTGCCGCCAGCAGAGACACTTCATGCATCGTGTTGCTTGTTAAAATGTGAAAAACCTTTCTGGGTCATGAAGCCCCTTCAGTTGGTCTGAGCTGGGAGAGCAGCTGTGGTTTCCTTTCCTGTCAGTTCAATGCTAAAATACAGAAACTGGAAACATTATTAACTTCTAATCTGTGGTTTCTGTCCTGCTTTTGAACTCTGAACCATTTTTGGTGAAGAAACATAACTTTATGATTTCTAAAGAACATATTTTTATAACTAAAAAGTGTCTTCCTGAAGGCAGCAGTTTGCTGAACAGGAAGTCAGAAGGAGGTCATGTTGTTTCTTTGCTGTTCACAGCTTTAAACCGCTGGAATGAGGTCAGAGATGCAGTAAAGGTCCCTCAGACGTCTGTGTGATTGAGGCAGACTCAGCAATGAACAATTATGAAAGAGTTTTCACATCAAAATATGGAGTGAAAATAGTCTCAAAATACATATAGATATTTTACACACAGGTATTGTGAGACTATTTTCACTACAACTGGCTCATAACAACTTGGAACCATCCAGTTGGTTGTGGAAAAAGAATAAATTTGTCTCAAGAAATATTAGCAGTGGGAACACTTGACTATGAAATCTGAACTGTCCGTGATCAGTAATGTCAGCGTGAACGCGACTCACACAGTCCTCCCGAGTGTGGGAGGCTTTAGCCGTCCTTTAAGGCAGTGGTTCCCAACCTTTTACTGCGGCCCAGCAGTGGGCAAAAGGGTGGGTGTTTACTATCAGAGAAGGCTTCTGCATTTTGGTGTGTCCGCGAAAGCCTAGTTCACATGGCACAATTTAAAATCTTTGGCCGTTTTTCTCTTACAACAATCTTATAACGTTCCGAGTTCTAAGATTGTCTCTTGCAATAATCGTAATTGATCATCCTGCAGTGTTTTGGGTGTTGAATATATTCAACATTGTCTTGGCCTGAATATTGCAGCCTATGGGTTTTTCTTTTCTCAATCTTCTTTTAGTACGCAGAACAGCAGTACACCCATGTAGAAGATGAAGATGTAGGTGTGTGATAATAAGTCACATCAACAATAGAACCGTAGCCAGATGCACGCCTCCAATCTTGGGGATGCGTTACTCTGCACTGTGCAGCTACTAAAATGGTGAGAAAACTCACCACTAGGTGTCATAGTTTCACCTCTCAGGCTCAAAACTAACAGCACCCAGCCCAGTTTGGTATCTTCTGAATTAACATCCAACAACAGTCTGTAAACAGCCAAATGTACTAAGTACATTTGTTCCAGGACAAAAGGTGACAGTCTAAGTCTCTGATGATGAACTTAATTGACTTATAATTTCTTCTAGAGTTTTATAATTAAGTAGTTGAAAATGGGTCATTTTTCCTGTATTTGTTTGTTTTGGTACAGCAATGGTTCTGGCTTTAGAGTTGATGTGCAGATTAATCCTCTGATTTTTTTAATTTTCTCTGAAAAGAAGCTGGAAGACTTGTTACAGGCAACATTAGATTGGAGTTCAGGTGGAAACATCACAGGAGGGTTTGTGAGCCTGTCAACTGTTGCAAATAAAGTCGAGCGTTGTTGATGTTTTTGTTTATGACATCTGCAAAGAAAGCCTCCCTTGCATGTTTTAGTGTTGAGTGATAGTTACGTAGACTTTCTTTATAGAGTAGACTTTAGACTTTAGACTCCTTTATTGTCCATTGAACTTACATAAAATGGAAATTTATCTTTGGTATCGGCACAAAGACACACAACACACATCACAGTCGACACGATAACTGTATGTATAAATGATAAAACAAGATCTATAAAATAAAGTCAATCATATTACTCTACCCATGTCATTCAGTTAAATATTAAAAACCATTTAAAATTTACCATATTATTGCTAAGAAGAGCACACAGAACTTTCTGCACTGTGTCACTGTGTGAATTTAAAAATCAGTAAAATCCTACTAGCAGACTCTTAGGGAGCACATAAAGCTTATGTTACTATAATCTTTGTCTAGAATATCCACAGCTGATGGAACAAATGGCTGCTGTAGCCATTGTTTCTTGCTATTGGGGTTTTAAATCTGCGTCCAGATGGAAAATCACAGTGAAGAGGACGAGTCGGGTCCAGATAGGATGAGTCGGGTCCAGATAGGATGAGTCGGGTCCAGATAGGACGAGTCGGGTCCAGATAGGATGAGTCGGGTCCAGATAGGATGAGTCGGGTCCAGATAGACTTGATGTGCCTTCTTTGTTAAGGCCCGCATGTACAAATGTGAAAGTTGTTTAAGTCCAATAATCTTTCAGCCTGGTTGACGATCTGTCCCAGTTTGTTCTTTGTTTGACAGAGAGGCCCATACCATGACACCATGTTGAATGTCAGCACACTCTCGGTCAGGGACTTGTAGACCATGGACATGGTGCGCTGACTGGTGAGTCTTCTCAGGAGAGCCAGGCGCTGTCTACCTTTTTTAAATGTGTAATCCACAGAGTTTAGATGAGAATCTGCAATAAGTTTGGCTTCTTCCAGTTTGAGGTGGTTTACCAGAATCTGGTATTTGAACAGCTCTGTGCTATCAGGGGGTAACAGATTACTTAATGTAATCTTTAGTTGAGCACAGTCACAGGGGTCTCTTCTGATGAAATAAGGCCTTGGACCTCTAGAGGTTTATTCAGTTAGAGCTGGAAAGCTAGACGCAGGCAGCAAAACGGTTTTTGGTTCCGAGCATTCCAGCTGTAGTGAACCTTGCACATCTGTCAGCATCACTGTATACCCACCACTTGTCTGGTGGTGTGTTACCCCCAGACAAGGAACTGTGGTCTTCCTACTCCAATATGAGGGGAGTAAGATTGTGTTAGATTTGTGAATAAATATTCCATATAAATCTTTAAGGACTGTGAGTTCATCAGTTCATGCATTGTTACTACTAAAGGAAGTAACTGAACTGAACTTTACTCTCTGCACTACGTTAGCCTGTGGGGGCAACACATCTATAACTCAAGATAACCAGATAAGCTATATCTAGGGACCACTCTAAGGAAATAAAGAGAGGGTGAGGCGGAGCGTGCTTCAGAACAATTTCAGAACAAATTCCTAACCTTTCTCCTTGCAAGTAAATCTAAAAACACACTTGTCCCTTTCTTCTTTTCCTGTTTGAGAATGCTTAGGTAAATGAACCCAACAGACTGCAGTTGATATCTGGCATTGCTGTATCTTATCTTCTCTTGTTGCACCCTCAGATTCCTGTCACAGAGTCTTCCTGTTATGTAACTAAGTGAAGGCCTACTCTGATGAACCATGCTCTGATTCTGATTCTTTATGAGCATAGATCACTCATCAGCTTCTCCAGCATTGTCAAACTGGCTGTGTTGGTGGATCAGGCTCAGCCTCTTCGCTGGTTTCAGGTCAGAGTGGAGGGTCAGGCCATTCCTCGTCATCATCCTCATCATTCTCCAGCTGTGTTGAAGAAGATGGTGATGCACATGTTGGTGGTGGGACTCCAAGCCTCTGATGAAGAGCTGATGTGCTCTGCTGGGCAGGTCCCATCTTCCTCCTCATCTCTTCCTTTAATTCTCTGAGTTCAGCCAATTCTCAGCTTCTCCAGCTCTGAGCGGTATAGTAAGGAGGTCTGCACTGACTCCTGGTATATGAAGACACAGCAGCTTGATCTCTGAAATTCTCTCCTGGAAAGCTCTTCACTGCTGGATAAAAAAATACCTGGAGAAAAGTTTCTGATTTAAACAGTGTATGTTTCTGCTTTTCATTTTAAAATCACTTCTTAACCAAATTCAGCAAAAAACATTAGATAATGACTTTAAAGTCTAAAGGGAGAAAGTTTGACATTTTCATGACCAGCATTAATGTCTGTAAACAGTTCAAATGTTTTAATGATGAGAAGCAAAAATACTTGAAGCTAAAACATGTAGGAATTGATAGTGGTGAAACTGAAAGTCTGAAGGTCACTGAGTGTTGTGCTTCATTAAAGCCACCAGATGTCTTCACTTCCCTTGATTTGTTGCAGAACTAAAATCTTCATGTTGGGTAGAAAGTGAAGGAATCAGTTGGTTCTTATTTACAGACATTCATCTTATTTCTAGTTGGACAGCAGAACAGAGAAATGAGCAGAAGTCAGAAGTCAACATGTTAATGATTTGATAACCAAAGCGCTGAGGCTTCCTGTCAGCGTCTGTCAGGTGACTTTCCTTCCATATCTGAGGTTATAAAAGCAGAGGAAGAATCAGAAACTCGTCACAGCTCCGCCGGATTCAGAAGAGAAGCTGCTGTTTGTCGCTCTGACGGCTGCCAGGATGTCTCGGAACGCTCTGTCCATCTATGGTGAGTTGGAGTCTCAAATTTCACTTTTATGTAGTAAAACCAATTATTCAAAACTGATTTCTGTTGAGCACAAAATGATTTTCTCTTGATTCACATTCAGCTTTAGATCCATGTGTCCTCATAAGTCAGAGGAGCCTCCATGTTATATATATTATATAACACCAACTATATTTTTAAATATACTGTAGTCTAGAGACCAGCTTTTGGTTGGCAAAAACTTTTCCTGAATTCACTCAAGAACGAAGCAGAAGTTTCAGTTACAGTATCTCTGCTTCCAGAGAGAAACACAAACTGGACCGAACCTCTCAGGTCCAGTTAAAGGTTGGAATTTTTTTCCAGTTCAGTTTTGTTACCATCCCAGCAAAAATATTACCTGCTATTCAGAGCTTTCACCTGTTTGGCTCCCAGACTGAACATCGATGATGTCGCCTCTGTTCCTGTTTACGTTCAGACTGAAAACTGGAATCACAATATTCATTTAACTTTAACACTTTCCACCGTTATATTACTTATAATGCTATTGTAAGGTGGCTTTGGGTGTCCTCAAAGCCACTTGTAAAGCAACAACTTTATTATTATTATTGTTGTTGTTATTATTATTATTAACCTTTTCCTTCAGGACTTTGTCTTGGATCATCAGATCTGCAGACACTGCTGGTTTTCAGCAGGCAGATAAATAAGATCTAATTGTTAAGATTATGACACCAAGTCACAGGAATCTTAATTATGAATGTTACTTTCAGCCGAGCTAGAACAGTACCGGGTCAGAACAAAAGCAGAACTCGGTCTCCAGCTGCCCTCATCAGTTTGGATCCAGTATTTCTTCATTCCAGCAGAAACCCTGACTCATCGTCTCATGTTCTCTGTTTTGGTTTCTCTTTCTGTCCCTCAGACTCAGAAATTTTCACTTGACTTGTCAAAACACTGAGACTTGATTTGGGTCCGTAGAACATCGTGTGTCTGTTTGGTTTTACTGGATCAAAACAGACATGAGTTGAAATGTTTTTTGTGTTTCAGGCCAGGCGACTTCGCCCTCATATATGAGTCATACCAACATGACGTCATACGTGGGGCATACCACCTCTCTGCCATGCTGGGCGTTGTCTCACACCCCAGTGACTGCTGTGGAGTGGAGAAGACCTCAGACGTCCAACTATGTCTTTCTGTCCCGAGATGGACATGATGATTCAGGAAAACAAGACCCTTCTTACAGGAACAGGGCGTCTCTGGTGGACAGCAAGGTCAAGAACGGAGACGCGTCTCTGGTCCTGAAAGACATCAGTCCAGAGGACAGCGGCTTGTATGAGTGTCGGGTTAAAGGCAGCAAGTCCAGACGCAAAAGACGGGGCGTCCTCGGGGGTCTTCCAGTCAGCACCGTCAACCTGCAGGTTCACTTAGGTTGGTCTGTGAATGATAACCACAAACTGGCAGATGTTTGCTTTATTCCACATGTATTCACATGTGACTTTATGAAATGTTCTGAAGTCATGATCTGAACCGGATCCATTTGAACTAATCCACTGCCGCCTTATTTTCTGCAGAGCAGGAAATGACAGGTAACCGTGGCGATGATCTCGTTCTTCCCTGTCGGGCTCCCAGAGATGCTGCAGTCGATGCTGTGGAGTGGCTCAGAACCGACATGGAGTCTGGTACATACATCTTTCTGATGAGGGACAGCATCCCAGATCCGACCAGGCAGCACCCGTCTTACAGGGGCCGGGTGGAGCTGATGGACCCGGACCTGAAGGATGGAAACCTGTCTCTGGTTCTGAAGAATGTGAGCAGCAAAGATGTGGGAACTTATGTCTGTCACACAAAAACAAGCGGAGAAAGAGAGAAAAGAGCCACGATTGAGAGTAAACCAATCAGCATCATCCATCTCAAGGTTGAAACTCCAGGTGAGTTTCGAAATAGGATGAGAATGTTTGGGTTTTATGTTGTGTGATAATTTTATAATAATCATCTGCAGTGGAAAGAGTTCAAATGGTAACGGAGAAACGTTACGGTGAATTTCTGTTTCTCAGTTGTTCACATCACAGTTTATACTGGGAACAGCGCCACCTTTCCCTGTCGAGCTCCTGTTGGCACCGACATTGTGGCCTTGGAATGGACCAGACCGGACCTGGAGGACAACGGATACGTCTGCCTAGTGAGGGACGGGATCCTAGACCCGACCAGGCAGCACCCGTCTTACAGGGGCCGGGTGGAGCTGGTGGACCCCCACCTGAAGAACGGAGACCTGTCTCTGGTTCTGCAGAACGCGACGCGCAGCGACACTGGGAGGTATGAGTGTCGCCTGAGCAGACAGCAAGGACGACAGAAGAGGGCCACCATCCAAACAGAACCGGTCCACATCATCCAGCTCTTGGTTCTGGAGTCAGGTGGGTCAAAGGATATTTCCTACAGATGGTGATGAAAGCTGCTGGTCAGACTCACCTGGTTCTGTTGTCCAGGTGATGAGGAAAAGGAAGATGAAGAGAAGAATCAGACCCTGTCCACCATCCCGCCTGAACCCAGAGCCCGCCAGCGCCACGGTCTGATCGGTGTGGGGATTGCAGGAGCTGCAGTTGCTGTTCTGTATTTAGTCATGTTTTTTATCTAAAAACTGTTAAAGTTTAATCCTTAAATCAGCTTATAAATGAGTTTAATCAAGAATCATAAATATGGAATCAAGTGTAAACAAAATGCAACCCAAGAAATAGAAGTTAGAAAATGAAATATGAAGACTAAATGTTCATTATTTCCTGATTAGATTTTATGTCTTATGGTTTTTGGTCTCTGGTGGCTCTTCATCCTCAGGTTTGTCTCAGTAACATGACAAAATATTTACATGTATTCATTATGTTTTCGGTTTTGTTGCATACATATTGTTAGCAGTCCACCAGCGTTAATCTGAGCTAAACAAATATCTTTATTCTGCAGAGTTTGTGGAGCATGAAGCAGATAAAATATGATCTGCATTATCCTTTCTGGGCCTGAAGGTGGCGCTCCTGCAGAGAGTAACTGGAATCATTCAGTTCTTATAAATTTGAACTTAGTAGAAACAGAAACAGTTTTATTAATCTGGAATTTATTTGTCATGTTTTACATCACAGATTATTTCTTAACTGCATCAGTAAATAAAACATTTAGCATCTAAATCTGACCTTTAATCCTCAAATTAAAACAAACTGATGTTTCTCCTTCAGTTATTATACTTTTTTTTTTTTTACTGAACTAAAGAATCAAATTAACTTTGTGAATCACATTAAGATTCAAATCTTTTTTTCCTGTATTATGAATCATTTATAATATGACTGCATTAAGCTAACATTATTATGGTTTGTGTTTTGAATCCCAATCATCACCATATGTAATGATCAGTTCAAGAACATTGATTGATTATTGATAATTACCGCATCAGTAGATAACTGTAATATTGGAGCTCAGTACTTGGTATACCATGCTGTGTGGCAAAGTTGTCAAATCAAACTCTGAATATAACTAGATGTCTATTTTTTTATGATCTAGTTTGTTGGATTTTTATTCGTTATCACACTGCTTTTATTTAGGGTCTTAATTTTCTCTATTTTTAAAGACAAACTGAATTTTCTGTAACTTTTTATTATCTTTACTTTCCCAACATACTTTGATCCACAAATAAAGATGAAATAAAATCCATATTTTCTCTCTCTGAATATTTGTCTTATAAAAGGATCCTAACAACAATAAATCATGACAGTTAACAAATTACAGAAGTTGAATTTTTTTTAAAGAAATCTTTTATTAATTTTAATTTTATGAGCCACAACCAATATTTACCTTTATGATTTATGTTACATCTATTTCACTACATTTTTAATACAATTTTTAAAAAATGGCCGCACTGTTAACATCATGCTAGCTGCTAATGAACCACAGAATTTCACAGGTTGAGACGTTTAATCACAGGAACACGACCGACAAATAATCATAATCATAATAGTAACATATTAATAAAACAAAAGCAGAACATGTGAAATCAGCAAGAGACTGAAAGAGGGTAGTGTTAGGGTTAGAACTCCCAGGTCCAGATTCTAATGGACACCAGAACCAGAACCGTTCCTCAGACAGCGTCATCATGTCAGATGTTCAACGTTCTGATGTTTGACCCAGTTCCTTTTCCCAGTGAGCGAAGAACTTAAGGATCCAGTTCAAAAACATTCTGAGTTTAAAGCCAACGATCATAAACTGTTTTCATCCAACCGAAATGTTTCTGATTGCTAATCATCATCAACCTTTGTTTGATCTCTGACCTCTTCCTTTATACATAATAACAAAGAGAAGCTGGAAAGAAAACTAAAATTGACTTTAATCTCAAAGTCAGAACTCTGGAGACGGAGCAGATGCTCCTCCCAGCAGAACCAGTTGAACCAGTTATAATGGAAAATATCATAATGTGCTCCTCACCTGTTTTGTGCTTCAGATTGTGTCTGCAGGATATTAGGAGGTCAAGCTGCTCTCCTTTAAACCTCTACAATGTCATCTGCATTGTAGAGGTTTAACAACAAAAACTTTCCTTACAACAGACAAATGGCAGCACCATCTGAATCCTGGGTGCATAACAAGCAAAGACTCACATGTATCGTCCAATCAAGTCTCTCTTCTCCCTTGGGAAACTCCCAGAGATGGTGACACCTGCTGCTGCATGATCTGCTGACCAGAACCCATAAAAAGAAACCAGATCCATTGTTAGGCAGAGCTGACTTAACAGACTCCTTTGACTCTGTGTTTCTGTTCTCATCTTACAAAGTTTTCATTTCTTCTTTTCTTCTCATGCAGACTCTTGTTGAAGTCATTTCTTCCATGACACCAGTAGAACCAGTTGGACCAGGAGACTGTCCAACATTAAACATTAAACGTTAAATCACAACGTTTAATGTTTAAATCTCATAATTTCCTGTCTTTATGAGTTTTTCATTTATTCATTTTCTCTTCAGCTTCTTGGTTGGATGTTTTATGGATTTTTCTTATAAAGAGATAAAACTTAAACATTTTATGTTTTTTCTTTTTGTTTATTTGCATAAGGTCAGGTGGAAAGTAAAAGCAAATATTAAACCCCTCCCACCTGATTAGTCGTCCCACATGTAAATAAAAAAAAATTCCCTTCTCACCCACCGCGGTGGTTCTTATCCTCTGAGCTCGGGTCCTCTACCAGAGGTTATATAGATATAGATCTATATATATAGATCTATATATCCTCTACCAGGATAGAGGTAGCTAGATCTATATATATAGATCTATATATATAGATCTATATATATAGCGGCTATAACGGCTTTCCTCTGTTGTTTATCCACTACGACAATGTCTGGTTGGTTCGCCATTACCATTACCACACATATATATATATATATACATTCCTAGAACTTGGAGTCATTTGAAGCTTCCAGTTTAACGTTTGAGTTGGACAACAGTGCCACCAGGTGCTCAGTCTGCAGCACTGATTGATTTAACAGGATTTCTGCGATTAAATCAAAATAAACTCCAGGTTTTAAAACCTACAGAAGAACACAGATAAAAACTTTAAAATAATAAATAGGTTCAATGTTCCTGCATATGAAGCTGGGCTTCTGATCAGTAAATTCAATAAAATAAATAAAATAAAATCTAATAAAAACTGTGATGTCTCTGAAAACTAACTATAAAAAGTATCTTACTGGTCAAATCATTGATGGAGATGCATTTAAAACATTCACTGATTTAACAAAAGATCCATATGAATTTAAATCTTCCCAGAAAACTATAAATGTTTTATTAATCATAAATAGATCCAGAAACAACCACTTAGTTTTAAGCTGAAGACTGATCTGGATCTGGATCTGGATCTGGTTGCTGCTCCTGACACATATTTAATAATCCTCCCAAATGTTTGGTCACAAATTTTTCTGTTTTCCTCTGTTCAACCTTTAAAACAAATGTCCTGCTGAATATTTTTATTTTGAATGAGTCTCAGATTGTTTTCCTTCAGAAACCTGACTGTTACGGCCATCTTTGTTTTATTTTTCTTCTTTTCTGGAGCTGCAGCTTCCTGCTTATTGACTCCACAGGGAACTGGATGCAGCCTTCCTCCTCTTCCCCTCCTCCTCTTCCTCGGTTGATCGTCACCAGCTTTCAGCTCCACCAATCCCTGACGAGGCGTCTCTTTTTAAATCCACCACTTCCTGATTCTTTGCCACCTTGTTGGCTGTTTGTCTGTTTTAATCAGTTTTGTTTTCCTGTGACATTTTATTGTAAACTTCCAGTTTGCTACTGATTTTAAGATCTTAAGGAGAAGCAGAGCGAACAGTCAGTAGGATGGCACCAGGTGACGCCGGGGCTTTGAGCTGCATTGGACTCATGGTGACAGTCGGTACCGACTCTTGTATCAGGATATCTGATATAAACCAGATATTCTTCTATCTGCTGTGGTTCTGACACGTTCTGCCTGTAGAACCGGGCTTTTAGCAGAATGATTACATTAAAGTCAGAGTTTCTCTGCAGCTGAAGCTTTTCTGTGTTTAGAGTCAAGGAGGGTTTTTTTCCACCTATTGCAGGATAATTATAAAAATATAAATAGAAACTGTTTTTCTAAGTCAACATCAGACCAACGTTTTTATTACAAACCAGTTTATGAACAAAATATTCTTTCCCATAATGTGACAGTTAGAGGCTCAGATCTTCATCCTCACCATCACCATGGTGATCAACATGGAGGCAGAAACTGAATCATTATCAGACTGAGGGCCAGACTAGATTATTTTGATCAGTTATTATATTTAGATAAATATTATTGCTGAGGGCACAAACAGGCCTCCTGATGCACAGATCATTTTATTTATATATAAACAGAAACAACAAACAGAACTGGGATGAACCATCATTTCCTGCAGAAACATAGAAATCACCTTAAATAATTTAATATAGTTTTATAGAAAAAGGTACAACATGGTGCAAAATAAACAACCTGGTTCTGAACGGACCGAACCGAACCACACAGCACTCCTCCTTAACGCAGAGCAGTGGAGGCAGACGTGTTTCTGTGAGCTCTGGTGGCCAACAGATGATATTTCATGGCCAATTATACTTATGTTTCTTTGAGCAATGACAATAAAGAAAGTCTAAGTCTAAATAAAAACAAAGGAAGCTTTAAAAAATACAGTAAACTTTTTTAAAAGATAAAACTGATATTTTTCTTGCTTCAAGTGTGAAAGCTGTAAAATCTGCTGGAGGTCCAACAGAACCGCTGCTGCATTCTGTCTCAATGGGCTCCTGAACTCAGAGCCCATTGACACTTCCTGTCAGACATCCGTGACATCACTTCCTGTCACAGATGTCAGAAAATGAGTTGAACAGCTTCAGGACCATCTCCAGATTCAGTTTGGTGAAGATCAGCAGCTGATGGTTCCTGGTCCAACCTGACCAGAACCAGACCTCCTCACCTCGGTGTAGACGGTCTGGACCAGAACCTGAACAGAACCACACAGACTGGTTGGAACTGGAACAGAACCAGAATCAGTCTGGCTCTTGGTTTGGACCCGGCCGGACCTGTTTTGAGACGGTCCAGTGGCTCTGCGCCGATCCGGACGCCATCTTTCTCTGCAGCTGCAGGAGAAACAGCAGCTTTACCTCTGACTGAAGCTCACAGTAACATCCCACAAACTACAGGAAACTGGAGGGAACTACAATAAACTACAGAAAAAACTCCAGTAAACATGAAGAGCTCAGCATGAAGGAGGAAATATCTGACCTTGGAGTTTCCTCTGAACGCATCGTCTTCCCAATACAACCAGAAACACCAGAACAGAACCAGCTGGAACCAGAACAGACAGGAGGAACAGAGGAAGCCAGCCATCAGGGGGCGCTGAACCTGAGACTGACAGGAAACAGCTCACCGTTGTAATCGTTATCCTTACCTGGCAGAAACAGAAGCTGATCTGAAGGTGGTTATGATTTATAGTCAGACTGATCTGGGTTGAACTGATCCGCTCAGCCATGCTAACACATCATGCTAACACATCATGTTAACACATCATGCTAAACACATCATGCTAACACATCATGTTAACACATCATGCTAACACATCATGCTAACACATCATGTTAACACATCATGCTAACACATCATGTTAACACATCATGCTAACACATCATGTTACACATCATGCTAACACATCATGCTAACACATCATGTTAACACATCATGCTAAGTCCTTTCTGTTTTCCTGTAAACCATGCAACTGTGCTCTACAGGAAGTGACTTCCTGCTGAGTCTTCAGGATATTTTCTCATTCTGAGCTCCGTCTGATAACAAGTCTTTATTCTACTGTCTCTTTAAATGAGGTTCCACTACTCCGGCCATCTTTGTAGTTTGACAGCAGAGCTATTTTTTCTTGTTGCTTCCAGATTTATGAAAAGAAGTGAGGCTGGTCCATTCAGCCTCACATGATGAAGACAGAAATATTTCATGAATCAAGTCGACTGGAAACAGAGTTAGCCTGTTAGCTAACGCCGACACCAAGAACACCACTGAGAGCACCAAACTGTTTCTGGAATCAAACTATTCACTTCATTCAGGCTAACCATTAGCTCACAGTGCTAACATTAGCACCATGCTACCGCTAGGGAAACAACAATGAATTCA